ATGATGAATGATTTCACGACATTATTTTTCTCATCGCTTATTATTATTATTCGACTTCTTTTATTTACTTATACTTTCCTATGTATCTTATACAAAGCTTATCTTGTCTTGGTAAAGTCGGTCGTTTTTTAACCCGCCCTATCTTTTCCTAAGTCGTTTAAACTTCAATAGCTACACGACATCTTTCAATACGGTCCCGTGCAACTAACACTTATCTTGTACCATTCTACCCATCAATCTACTAAAAGATCTCTTTAAAAGATACACTCTCAGTACCCATTTTAACTTTTTTTTAATCAATAATGATATTTAAAGAACCGTTAGAATTCACTCGAAAGAGTCGAGAAAATTATTAATATTCTTATCTTTTACTCGACATTTTATTTGCATATGTGTATCAATAATATTTAGAAAACAAATATTAATAGTAAAACAACTTAGCACAATGAGGTGGTGGCTTTATGGTTGAGACTAGTGTAGATAAAAAAACGCTTCGATGCAAACCTGTAAAATTTCACCATTAATTATTTAGTTGTAGTTTTAACATTTCTATGTATTTTTAAATGTCATATAAGTATTCGATGCTTGTTAAATGATTCAATTTGTTAAAAATAAAGTTTTTTTTTTTTTAAATTTTGATATTTTCTTTGATAAAACATTTCTTATAGTAGAACAATGGTCGGTTAAATTCTTTTTAATATTATAGTAAATTTTGTAATTATAGTAAAAGTGACGGTAAGTTCCAATTAAATTGAAATCAAGTTTTTGTAGTATTATTTTATAAATCTTTTTAGTAAGAGCTGAGATCTTTTATGAACAGATATAAAACACCCACATTATTGTTAAATTGACACCCACTCTACTTCGCATTAAAGCTAAAAATAAATAATGATAAATAACAATAATATTTTTGACTTACAAGAATTAAAATAAGTACACTCTTTATTTATTGATATAATGTAAATGTTTATTTTATAAGATTACGAATGACTGATAGCTATTGTGATGTTTTATTAAACAACTATGAATTATTAACATTAAAAATTTAATTTTGTGTAATATAAATTTCTTTTTGTTAAAATTCTGTTGGTAATATTTGATCTTATATTTTGATCATACAAAAATACAACAGTAATAACTAAGTGGATTCTGTTAGAATGATTTTAAAATTAAATAAATTAACATTAGCATATTTAATTTTGCATTTCAATTTAAAATACGGATACCATATTCAAAATTTGAATCTTTTGCATTAATAAAAGTTTACCCGTATTTTTATTTATATATATATATATATATATATTTACGAAATACTACTACATATGTGTACAAATAAGTGTGTATAATAATATTGATAATGTGAACGCGTTTTACAACCAAATATTTTAATATGCCAAAGGTGTCCGGGAACCCTTTTAAAGTTGATGTGCCGCAATACTGATTTTCTTTTCTTCTTTATCTTTTCTCCGACCTGTTAAAACTTTATGAACTTATCCGAATAAATTATTTGTATGAATAATGTAAAACCAATTCACGTCTAAAATTTATGTCGAAAACGTTTCACGTTTCTCAATACATTGTTTAATAACACTTTTGCATTTTATTTACTACAAAGTTAGCTGCAGACTTTACTAAACGTATGTACACAGTGATTCGCTGCTTAAAACGTTATGGATTACATTGGCAAATCTTAAATACTTAACAAATATTATTCCTATATCTTAAAGATATGTGTCACGTGAAAATTAGAATTCAAAATATATATATATATATATATTGCATAAGACCTAATTGTTATGATACATTGACCTCTCATTACGATTCTTATCTGTTAAGCAATAAACTATATTACATATTTAAATGTTCATATAAATGATAAAATTCACAAAAATAATAGTAAAAGTTGTCACAGATATATCAATATTGTAATGCAATAATTAATCATTGTCAAGAATTGGGTATTATTACTATAAGATAACATGTAATAAATAACACAAAACACTTTATTAAAGAGATTTTTTATAGCGTATCTGACACCTAGCATATGTTTATACCTATAAAAATGAGCAAAATATAAAAATAAAAGGGACTAAAAATGGCTTAAATATATGATAGTATACTCCCATCATTAGATTTCATTAATCTAATTCATATGCAAGAAGTGAGCAGTCACACTTATGTTTTGATCACATTTCAAATAAACAAAATGACTCATATTATTTTTTAAACATTCGCTGGAAATATCAATGTATACAGTAGTATTAATTAAATTAATAAGGTTTAGAGTTAATAATTTCTTTTAAGTTCATAGTTTAAGTAGGGACAAAAAAAGATTAAGTGATCACTAAAAATAAAATAATAATTAAAGAAAATCAGTGATGTTAGTATGGAGCTAGTTGGCAGAGTTAGATTATTGATAAGTGTGTATGCCAGGAGCTACTTTGGAGGTTCATATATATACTACTCTGGATAGTTACATAAGGTGACTCCATTTCACCTATCATTGATAACCGTCAGTACTCGTGTAGTTATTAATATCAATTGATAATAATAATGACAAATGAATAATAATGATAATTATTTTATACCTATATACCTATTATACCATAATAATGAATAATGACAATTAATCACGATAATTTTTGAATTAATACATAAAGATCACTACATTTTTCTATTACTTTCATTATTCTCGAGAACCCTCGTACCCATTCTCCGAGAGATATTATTATTAAAACAACAAACAGTAACTTCTATTATATTATATCTTTCTTTTGAGTTAATATACATAATTGAGTTAAAAATATCCGTAATTTTATTACCGTTTTTCAATTATAATAGTCTAATCATTTACCTTAAATCAGATTATTTCTTTTGAATTCTACTTAGAGGTGGTATTATTTTTTCTAAAATTTGCAAGCACTACTTTTAGTATTTTTCGTTCAGGACGATTAAGCTTTTTATATGAGTGACTTTGAATTTTGATCGAGGCACGGGTTTCTATTGTTTTCATTGTTTGTAACAATTAACCTGTTTCCTTACTTACTGAACACTCTGTATAGGTTAAACATTACACAAAAATACCAATTATGTTATTTACAATGTATTATCACGGTTCCACGCACAACTGTATTTCAATACCTAGTAATAGTATTATTGCAATGTATGAATCAAAGTATAAAAGTAGTACCTGCGAAAATAATTTTTTTGTATTGTTGAATAAAAAAGTCATTGACTGAAAAAAAGTTACGATCCCTTTATACTATGCCCATGCCGGAAGTCAGTAAAAAATCATTGAAGTAGAAATACCTATCGGTAGCTGTATCGTTGGACTACTTGACCGTGTATTATGTGCACTTTAGACTACATACAATAGACAGAGTCTACACAAAAGTTTCTATTTTAAAAAAATTTTTGATTTTTTCTTCAGTGTGATTTCCATATTTATATTCAATTATTTCTATCGCAATATAACGTTCAGGTTATTTACTTAAGCTTTTCAATTCACATATGTATATTTTATGTTATTAAATTGAATAATTTACAAATTTCATTTAAATAATACAACTAAACAAGCTATAAATAAGATTTAAATAAAAAATTAATTCAAAAAATATATTATAAAAATATGAAACATTATAATGATAAATTACCATAGACCATAGAAATAATATTTTAATGTATTTCAAACGTTTGTATTGAATTGTTTAAGTACTTTCGATTTTAAATATATTACGAAGTGTGGCACACTTCTTCTTCTTTTTCCCCGCCTTTATCCCAACTACTTGCCATCGGCCACCCTTATCCTAAACTTCCACTTGACATGATCTCCCACATCATCTACACGTAAATCAGCCGTCATCATAGCACATTCAATAACATCCCTCTATCTCTTTTTTTGTCTTCCTCTACCTCTTCTTTCCCCAACATTTATTTCCATAACTGTTCTTACAGCTTGCGATTCCTCTATCTTCATAATATGACCAAATCATCTAAGTCTATTTTGTCTCATCTTATCCACGATTGACGTTACACCTATACTCCCTCTTATATGTTCGTTCCATATCCCATCTTCTCTTGTCACTCAACTCATTCATCTAAGCATTCTCATTACTGTAACACTATTCTCTATTCTAATCTCTTGTCAACCGCCCAACATTTTGAACCATACATCATAACTGGTCTCACTGCAGTCTATTAGAATTAACCTTTCAGCCTCATTGAAGTTCTCTTATCGCATAACACACCAGACGATTCTCTCCTCTTCACCCACCCTCACTTAATCCTGTGTTTAATATCCTCGTCAATACCATCGTTCTATTGCACAACTGATCCTAAATACTTAAAACTTTTCACTTCTCCTATCACGTTCTCGCAATTGTCACTCATTTTACCTATCTCGTGTTCTTTTTTGTCAAACTCGTACTCTAAATACTTTGTCTTACTCCTACTTATTCTTAATTTCTTTCCAACGCTGATCTCAGTAGTTCCACACTGCGATCTTCCAATTTATATTGATGATGTGTCTTTCATGTGTCAAAAAATTATAAAAATATTTTAATATTTTTTATAAGACTGCATTGAAATTTTAAATGTATATTTGGTTTCTTGAAAAAGTGATATATCAGCTTTTAGAAAATAACTACAAAATTATTTTACTTTTTTTTTTTATAAATAAAATAATTTCATCTATAAAAAAGTCTCTCTTTATTTTAACACTTTACTTAAAATAAAAATAAAAAATTCTAATTGCTGCGATGTGTATTGTGTTGTGATTTTTTATTTAGCACTCTTTTTCTCTTGAATCTTATATTACACAAATTAAAAAATATATATTATATAAATGAACCCATCAGTCTATTGCTTTGGCAATCAATAAAAAGTTTATTGTCTATTTATTGCCTAAATTGGTATTTAATTATAACTATGATCTGAGGTATAATATTTTTGCGTCAATTCAACAAATATTATAATACTAATACTATTTTTTCATTTTACAGATATTTTGTAGTTCTAACTTATATAATGAGTTTAAACATTGAATTACTTTGACTGGAAAACACTGGAGCATAATTAAAGTAAGTTTAAATAGAGAATATTTTTTTTTATTGATTACTCGTTTTACTTTTTTGACGTCTAATAAAAAATATTACTTCTATGACATTAAATATACTAAATAATTGTGAAAATTCATATATTTTACTTAACTGGATTCATCAAAACGAAAAAGACAATTAACAGGACAAGTAGTTTCCTTGTAATATATTTATAGAAAAATATTGTGATCCATATGATTATTTATGAATTTTTAATTTATTTTGTCCTATTAACTCTTATAAAAGTATTTTGTTATGCGTTCATCAAAGTGGTTTTTAAATAAATACACTTAGCATTTGCAAATAAAACAAAAATATAAGCCTACTTTTAGGTCAAATATAGGAAAAAGGACATTATCGAAAATTTAAATAAACTAAAAAGCTGGGTACGGAAGAGACCATTATGCAACGGATGTGATCCCTTTCCATGCTAATACGGGAATTCCTCTTTCAGTGTCAGCCCCCGATAACGTGATTGAATTACGATGACGAATATTTGATGTGATTCAGAAACTTGAAAATGGAAATTTATCAAACTTAAAAGTCATCGCATAAGTCGATAACAAATATTGTTGAATATTTACAAAAATGTTCGGTGGCAGATGTGAACTCGCCAAACAAGCATTGATTCGTACACAAGGTTACGAAAAACAATGTTGGTAATTGGAAAACGATGAGTAGTTAATGAAAATCGACTATTGCTAGTTTAGTTGGTTTTAAGATACGTGTTACTCCAAGTTTACGTGAATTTAATATTTTGATGTTCCTATGCTTATACCAGCGGCCAAGTCAGTAACATAGAGAAATATATATTTATACCCGTATGTGATATAACAGTGGAATGCAGTCCCTAAGTTATCCTGTGATGGATGACCCTACAAAGTTGTTCCTCTCTCTTCTCTCTAACTTTGCTATGCTAGAATATCCAATAAACCTAGCCCAGTAATATTTCATTTTTTTTTCTCTTACCTTGTTTTCCTTACTCGCATTCTGTTTTTTCGAAATTTAATTATATATTGAATCTGTTTTAAATTTAAAAACCATCATTTCTCTTTAAGTCTCTATTAATTACCCAACTGATGATATACTGTGTTGGTGGTTATAAATAATTTATACTTTTGTAGACCAGTATTTTTACATTCAATTATCTAGAGAATAATTGTTTTATTAATGATAGTTAATTTAATAGAATTGATACTATTTATGGTTGCAGGAAAAAAGTTTTAAATAGATACTGATGGAATATTAAACAATGATGTTATTGAATTTATTGAATTAAAAATAAAATATTCTTCTTATTACAGGATAACTGTAAGACTGAACATTGTAAATTTTAACCGAATCACACTTGCCATAAGCTCTACTATGGCACTAAATCTACTTTAAACCACAGCTCTTATTGTTGTTTTAGTCGTATAATAATGGGTGCTTTCGAGTACAAAACTAATAGATATATGAACAGAGCGCATACATTCAATTTACTCTATGAAATTATGTTATCCAAAAGCTAAAACGTCCCTTGGCTAATGTCCAAAATAGCAGTTTCTCCTAAACATTTTAAGTTATATACAACGTATTCTCAGTGATATTTCAAAAGCCATATGGTTGTGTATGCATTTGTAATAAATTATAGATATAACATAATAGTATTTTAAAACCAACACTGAAATACATCGAACTATTTAATTTGAATATAATTTTAATTTTTTTTAATTGTATATTTAATTCTGAAATTAGTTGTATCAAATTGTAATTAATTGTGTGGTGATTAAAAACTAAATTTATTTGGAGATCAATGTAAACTGCAATTATTTATATACATATAAAAACATTTACAAAGAATTTATATCTGTGACTAATATCTAAAATCTAATAAAATAAAAAAAGTGATTTTTAAAATTTTTAAATAATTTTTGTAAAAAAAAAAGGGTGTATGATAAAAAATTACGAGTCAATTTTATCAAGGTTTGTATTTTTTACTTCAAATTGCTAATTTTCATAAGTTGTAAAATGATTTTTCTTCTCTTAAAAATTCCTTGAAGTTAAGAAGTTAGAGATAAGTGCAAGACAAGGTTTGAGGCACAGAATCAGCTAGGTGAAAGTAGCTTATGTATTTATTATAATATAATCTAAATTTTTAACTATTTAATAACTTAAAATTTAAAAAACCCAGCACAGGGGGGTCGCGGCACAGTGGTGACGTGGCATAGTTGGATCAAGTATAATGATATCTGACAGTGATTAAAATCACTATCAAAAAAAAACGCTTCGATGCAAATCTTTAGATAGTGTTTAATTTTAAAAAATTGGTGGATTATTCCAAAAGCTTCATAAACTGCTAGTTCCTTATTAATATCCTGATTAAGACAAAGTATGTCGAATAAAAAAGAGATTATTAGAAAATAGTATTTCCCATAAAAAAATTATATTGATAAATACACTTTTCAATAAGTTATAGCATTATAATGTTAAAAATGTAAAAAATAAAATTGAGAATTTTCACACAATAATAGCATTTGGTAGCCATTTTCACCTTGAAGATAAAATAAAGTCCGAAATTTTTTTTTTCCATGATAAAGTATATTACATTAGCTTTAATTTAAGATATATATAAAAGTGTCAGACCTTCCGGAACATTTTCAAAATTTAAGTTAAAAAAATTAATTTTTTGTGAAAAAGTTGTCATTTTAAATCCCCCCTTGTGGGCAGGTTAAGGGTTAAATTTATGAAAAAAATATACCAAATGAAAGGTAATGATATTATGCATCTATATAAAAAAGAATTATATTGATATGTTTATTTTTGAAAAAGTTATGGCACTTTTAAGTAAAAAAAATTGAAAAAATTTCGAAAATTAGCGATTTTTAAATTTGTAATTTTTTTGGAGGTTTCCCCCTTTTACGGGGAACGAGGGAATTTTTTTCAATTTTTAAGGGTAATGTCTTCGACTATATACGATTTGTGATCTTTTGACATATCGTTGAAAGAAATCGGTTCGGTGAGAGCTGAGAAAAAGTGGTAACAGAAAAAAAAAAAAAAAAAAAAACACATCTTAGTAAAACCAATACCTTCTCAGCTTCGCATCGAAGCTAAAAAATTTACTTGTTAAAAAATCATTTAAATTTTAAAAAATTGGTGATTTTTCGAAAATTTTTAAATGGTCAATCGTTTGTTTGTGAAAAACTTTTAAATTATTCAACATTAACTCTTTAAGAAGTTACTGTGCTACAAAAAGAAACTTTTAAATAGATCGAGCTGACTTTGTAGTTACTTCATTTCATTTGTTTCCCGAAGGCTATTTTCAATAAAATGGATTACTTTAAAATCTAATGGACACATATGTTTTTCTACGTTTTTTATATAGTTATTCAGTAATATAACTAAATGTTTGATATTTTCAATATTCTCTTGGTAAATTTGATTTGAATATTCAAAAATATTTGACTTTAAATGTAAAGAGTTGAAATAAAAGTGGTATGATTCTAGTACATATAAGGTAAACTCAATGAAACTTTCACGTGTTTCTGCGTTGTTTGCGGTCCAATGAGTGTTGACTAGTTCAAAAAAGGGTTGATCTTTAACATCCAAAATTTTACCTACTGCATTCACTGTATCTATTGCAGGTTTTAAAATATGATCGGATGATTTTATGATATCTGAAATGTTGTCTGAAAGAGATCCCAGAAACACACTTTTATCAAATAATATATTTTGAATATATATGCAGTGTTTCAATACTACAAAAGATGTCAGCATCAACAATGTATTCTTAATAAAATTTGTGTAAAGAAATATTACTGTGAAATCTGATAACCATTTATTTCTAACTAATTCTACACACGTAGTTAATACGTTCCAGTATTCTTTTTGATCGTAAAAGTCGTATGCACAAAATTTCCCAGGAAGTAGTAAAAATTTGTGGTGATTTAGTATTTTAGAGTAAACATTATTGATATTTAGTTTAAAACCGTTATTATAGATCGTAGCGAGTTCATAACTGTCATCTTTAGATAATTTCATTTCATCATATAGTTTTTTTGTTTCTATGCCGAGTTGATGAGAAGAAAGTTTAGTTTCTAATGATATAAGTGGCAAGTAGTTATTTGTCATGCATTTTGCTAAATAATTTTTGAGTACGGTCAATTTCGATCTTTTGTAAAGCCTATAAATATCATTATTTCCATTTTGGATAGATACACTTAATGCTACTGCTGTGTGCCAAAGTGTTGGTGGGATTGAAATATTACTAACGTAAAGGACAGACAAGATTCGATGTACATAAAGGTCATATAAAACAGCGTAATGTTTCCAAGTTGAATGAATCGATTGTAAGTGCTCTAACATTTTAAATACAACAAGTCCATAAGAACACTTCAAACTGTCGGATTTGAATTGAAGATGCTCAAGAGTCCTGATTGGCGTAGATAATGTGTAATCTTTCATCTTAGAAGAAACCCGTTTCTCGGTGTCATTCAAAACGGAGTGTAAAGTAGAATAAAAATTCGTTGGAAGTATCCTGAATACTCTAATGAGTTCTTCATATACTTTACAATCCTAAAAAATAATAATTGGTTGACTTTTTTATTAAAATATAGTGACGCATATTAATAATAGTATAGAGACAGAATATATTGTAAAATATAAATTAATTAAGTGCAGATTGATAAAATTTAATTTTGATTATGGTCTAGATAACAAATACTTTTTACTATGCGTTTTTATTGAATTTCATGTAAATTATCCTTTTTAAAAAGTATATATTTGTTAATGATAAATTATGAAGAAAAATTTTAATTTTTAAATTGTTTGAATATTACCGTATTTCTGTCACAATAAACATGTTGTAAATAATGGTTTATTATAGTAATTGAAAACAACACAAGATTTTTTGAACTTAACATCATATGAAGGTGAAATTAAAAAAAAATAATAATTATTCACAACAATAGTTTGTGTGAGGATATTTTTTGTATTAATTTATACGTCCACCTCTTAATATTAGTAATAATTTTTTATTAAATATTTAGTTGTATATGCGTAATATGACATACATGTGTTTTTTCTTTAAAATAAACCAAAACACTTGTATTTTATGCAAAAAATAAAATTAAATGATTACCATTTGAAATTCCAATCTTCTAAATAATTCATAAATATTATAACAAATATTGCGTTTTATTTAACTAAAATATAGTATTTCTTATATATTTCTCATAATTATCTATTAAATATTTAAAAATTTGATGTTAGTCCAACTGATCTTTCGTTTTTAATAATGCTTCTTATTTAGTTTCAGTTATATGATTTTGTATAAAATATAATTTCGATGGGATTGTTATTGAATTGCTAGTTATATTAATTTTCTAAATTTCTCTTCGTGTATGACTAAAGTTTTGTGTTTTTAACTAATTTGAGATATATATTTAGGTTAGATTTTCATTTTTATGATTTTAACAAAAATTAAATGTAGGTTTTAACATGATTATTATTAAATAAGAAAAATGAATTAATAAATTAGTATGGTAACATTTTTATTATTGATAGCTATTTTTTTCATAATTCTGAGATATATTTAGAGATTATACAGTTTCAAAATTAAGTATACAGTCAGTATAATTCTAACTGTGGCAACGACTCAAAAGATGATTTTGAAAATCGACTCTTTATTGTAATTAAGAATTTTCTAAAATAAATTTATTCTTTTCTATTTGAATCTTTTATATACAAAAGTTTCTCTCCAGGAATAAACTGACATTTAAATCATTACATCTTTACAACAGTTGAATATATTATTATGGTGTATAATGTGAGTTCCTATCAAGAATTCTTGAATAACTGTTTATGTTACTATCTGGTTATAATAAGTAATTGTGCCTTTGAAAAAACTTGCATTAGTTTAGGTACAAAGGCTGTTTTTTTATGTTGAACTTAAAACATGAAACGATCATTACCTGGAATGGTCATAGTTATGGATATACGATGCTAAGTTTTAACTATAAATAAGCGAATTTTATTGTCTTTAAAACATTTTCTTTGCCTAATAACAGGTATTCGAGTATTTATATTTATTTAGTAAATTAAATCACCATAAAATTTCGAACATTATGTTATCATTTTTGAATAGTTATGATTTATTATAAAATATAAAGAAACTATTCAGTCATAATATAATATGAGTAATACTTGGTCAAAAAGGAATAAGTTTATCTTTGGCCTATCTGTAATCTCGATTAAAGTATTTGACTTATTTTACTCCGCGTAAAATCAGAATTCACGTCACGTTTCTTTAACGAATCGTGCACCTTGTGTGGGTACATATAATTTGATTGTAACCGCCCCGAGTCCACTTATCTTATCTCTTATCCTACCCTCAACAGTGGTGATGCATAGAAATAGTACACACAACTCATTCTATAAACCCATTGCATCATGGCGAGTTCCATTGGACCAAAAAACCTCGAAGATCCCTAAATAAATAAAAAAAATCCAGATCTAGCGCAGGTAATACTTAGAGACGAGATTTATGCGGATCGTATGTGTGATGGCGTATGACCATTTGACTGGAGAAGCGTAGGAAGTGATGGCGAAAGTGAGTAAAGTTGCGACAGAGAAAAAAGAATATTCGTTACACCCGGCAAAACGCCCTCCGTGGGGTTTCTGTATTGATAGCGGCCATATTTACGGCCGTTTTTTTCCATCGCCATTAAAACTGTAAAATACTGGCGGCAGTCAAATAGTATATAAATGCCGATGTAGTAAAGAGAAAAGTAAAAGGGAAAACATTTCAATGCCGTAAACGTCGCCACAGCAGCGGTATTTCTTTCCATCGCCGCAGCCAAAAATCGCATTTTCTATTATTAAACATGTAATATTTTATACGTACACTTTTATGACGGTGGCAAATATAATCCGTTACCCAGTGTGCGGAATTGGTTTTTAAAAACAATACAAACCCCAGGTTGTGGTAACTGTTATTTTTCACACAAACATAGTCCCCCTTTTCGGCCTTTCCTATGTAACGCGTTGAAATTAATGAGTCCCTCAAACTGCAGCCCAGCAGGTGTAATCTGAGATTTTTATAAGTATACGTATTGTATATGGTGCGAGTTGGGGCGTGGTATTAAATGGATAAAGCTAAAAGATAAGATGAAAAATTCTTATACTACTAATTTAATAATGCAATCCACTCTCCTTGGCTGCAAAACTCGTTCCAATAATAATAAAAAACTCCTATCCAAGAGTATAAACTTCTGTTAACCGTATAAGTACACGAAAATTTACTCAGTATTTTATGAGCGGGAGACATTTTATATTTTTGAACTTTTCAAGCCCCTATAATGATAATCACTGAGATTGCTGTCAGGTGTTAGCACCGTTAGAGACCCTTTATAAACTATCTTTGTTTCTTTAAACTTATTAATACGAATGAAAAGGGAAAAGACTCGGCAACATCGCGAACGATATGGAATTTTGCGTGATACATAAAAAAGAAAAGCTTAATAATTAAAAGACGGTATTTATTTTTGTGCAAGAAATAAAATAGAACTTCTACGTTTTTCAAAGTTTTCTGAATTTAATTAATTTTGTTTTTGTTTTTAATTCTACTCAGTCGGAAATAGTTTTGTACTGAACCTAATGAGTTTTTAATGTTTTCAAGATGATAAAGTTCATGATGCACTTGCTAGTTTATTAGTCTTCGTTTACAAGACAGGGTAAATACAAATTTTCATTTTGATTCCAATTTAATCCAATTTAAGGCTACATTTTATATTAAGATATATTGTATTTATTTGTTTTTTTTTTTTTTCATAATAAAATATAACTAATGTAAGGCTTATAACTATTTGAGATATTTGTATTTAGTACATAACAACGTTACTATAAATATGATGTTTTTAATTGCTATAATAAATATTTATTTATATATTATACTTCTAAATTAAAGAATAAAGGAAATAGGAATTCATTTTGATTTTGGTATAATCCACCAATTTTTCAAAATTAAACACTATCTACAGATTTGTATCGAAGCGTTTTTTATGATAATGATTTTAATCGCTGTCAGATTTTTTTAGACTGATCAAACAAAAAAGTATAGTTTCGCCTATAGACGACACAATAACAAAATAATTCTTATTAATATAAAACATGTTTATGCTTGACGATTAGATTATTTATAAATAATTAGTAAATATACTTTAATTAAAAAAATACGTAATAAGCTAAATGATTTTTTTTTTTTGAATTTCAATGAATAATTTATGACTGTAAGACGTCATTTATGACAATAGTTATGATAGATTTATTTAACTGAATTTTTACTTTGGTTAAATGATCAAAGTTTAGGAACGGATTTATAAATTCTGTTTTAGCCAATATGAAGGAACCGAATCCTAAAAAAAATTATTATATTTATTTAAGAGGATAAGGTAATTCTCTAATACATATTTACATGTGAGATTATATTGGAATATAGATTTTTTTAAATTTATTCTTTTCTGTAAAACACTCAGATGATATATATATTAATTATACATGGGTGTATTAATGTTTATTTATTTCTATACATAATAGTATTAATATTAATAATAAACTTAAAACTATTCCATAGTCATAATCTTTAAAAAAAAAAGTCAGCGAAATTCGTTTTTAGAAGTACTCTTATTATTATTATTTATTAATAAAAAATATAAAATAGTTGGCAAGTTTATTAAAAAATTGTCATCTTACAGATTTAAACATTATTTCGAATAAACTCTCAGACAACACAACAAGTAACTACATCACAAAGTATTTCAGAACCACTTAAAAGTTTTAAACACCACAAACATTTTCCAAAGTTTCATAAAAGTTTACCTTTTCTCGTGATAACTATGTGTTCACGCCATGATTTTTTTTAAGACTATATTCTTTAGGTATTTTAAACTTACGCAATTTGAAGGTTTAAATTTGTTGTAGAATACCTTATTGCACTGCGACTAAAGATCAAACTTTTAACTTTTTTCGTATTAGCATTCAAGTTCATTTAAGATTAAAAATATGACATTTTCACTATAGGATTTTATCATTCTTATGATGTGAACAATAACATTAAATAGTTTTTAAAAATTTTCTGTAAATATAATTTAGAGGCTTATAAATAGTGTTTTAAACGTAAGATGATAAATAACGTAAAAAAAAATTACAAATATATTTAACAATCATGAAATTCTAGGTAATTCAAATAAATTTCACAGGAAAAAAAATATATTGAATCAGTTAATTTAGAATATTTTTACTAAGAAATTAAAAAAATAAAATAGTCAGAAATATTATGTGTTAAAATAATTTAAAGTGAGATTCTATGAAAACAATTGTATTGATGAAAAAATCATTTACAAAATATTTGTGTTTTTGTGGTGATCTTGTTATATGAAATCTTTGTTTTACCAAACATTTTCTTATCAATTGCACAACAGTCAGAATACATTTAAAGTACGTTTGACGTTATCTTATTTGTAATCTAACTTCAGTATTTGTTTCTGACGTCCTAATCTGAGAACTTCATAATGTGTCTAACTTAAACACTTATAATCTTAAGAGCTATCTTGTGTTTGTAAAATGTCATTTGTTTTATTTTTTTTTACATTAGTTTACTTTTAAAGTATTTATGAGTGGATAACTTGTTATTTTAAAGTTATTTATACTTTGTTTATTATTAAAGATGCCAAATGATATTTTTAGTGTATTTAAATGATATTTTATATAATAACCAATTTTTCGTTGAATAATGATTTTTTTTATAAAAATGTAAAAGTTAAAATTGAATTTATTTTTATGAATCATTGTAAATATCAATTTTATAGTAAAAAAATAATAGGTTCCCATTGAACTGTCGGATATCATTTCTAAAATCAACCCTTAGAAA